TGTTATTTCAATCTCTTAAGTTAACTATCTTCCAGAAATGAAATAGTGTTCAGTCCAGGAATAAATCATTTCTTCCTAACTGTTAAATTTCCGTAAAAACTGTGAAAACTATTGAATAATAATGATAAAACTGTGAAGCCAGAGCTGAATAATTTCCTAATAAATCATTAATAATGGGAATATTTTAGTTTAATTCTATACTTTTAAAAGAAGAAGCGAAATTAAATCTCACGTTTTCTTGCAATGCAGAATTACTATTTCAACATCAAGCTAGGGTTCATATATACAAAGTTCTGAATTTTTCGATGTTAATTTTCCTGGTTCTCAGCTGTTCCTAGTTTACACATGGATCTATACTGTTCTCCAAATTTGAATGTTTCCCACTTATTCTTTTGGTTCCATGGTTCTACCTCCGGATCTAAAGTTTCTTATCTTAAATTTTTCTCTTGGTTCTCCAGGTTCTAGCTCTGCACATGTTTAGTGGTTCTTCTAATTCTCCTGATCCTGATTCTTTAACTGTTTCCCATGATTTCTTTATCTATGGGTTCTTCTAGTTCTCCTGATCCTGATTCTTTAATAGATTCCCCTGATTTTTTTAATATATGGGTTCTTCTAGTTCTCTGATCCTGAATTTTCAACTGTTTCCCCTGATTTCTTCTAATTCTCTTGATCTTGATTCTTAAACTGTTTCCCTTGATATCTTTGTCTCTCATGATTCCTTTTTTCCTGATTGTCTCTTTTCTCTTGGTTCTCTTTCTGGCGCTGTTTATAAAGTTCCTCTATATTTTTTTTTCTGGTTCTCTTTTTCTAAATAATGATTCTTCTGGTCCCTTTTTTACATCTTTATCTATAGGATCTTCTGGTTCTCTTCTTTAGTCTGAGTCTTGGTTCTGGCTCTACACCTTGGTATATGCGTTCTTCTGGTTATCTTATTTATTCTGAGTCCTGGTTCTGGTTCAACACCTTGGTCTATAGGTTCTTCTGGTTCTCTTCTATAGTCTGAGTCCTGGTTCTGGTTCTACACCTTGGTCTATAGGTTCTTCTGGTTCTCTTCTTTAGTCTGAGTCTTGGTTCTGGTTCTACACCTTGGTCTATAGGTTCTTCTGGATCTCTTCTTTAGTCTGAGTCTTGGTTCTGGTTCTACACCTTGGTCTATGAGTTCTTCTGGTTATCTTATTTATTCTGAGTCTTGGTTCTGGTTCAACACCTTGGTCTATGCGTTCTTCTGGTTATCTTATTTCTTCTGAGTTCTGGTTCTGGTTCTACACCTTGGTCTATAGATTCTTCTGGTTCTCTTATTTCTTCTGAGTTCTGGTTCTGGTTCTACACCTTGGTCTATAGGTTCTTCTGGTTCTCTTCTTTAGTCTGAGTCTTGGTTCTGGCTCTACACCTTGGTCCATGCGTTCTTCTGGTTATCTTATTTATTCTGAGTCCTGGTTCTGGTTCTACACCTTGGTCTCTAGGTTCTTCTGGTTCTCTTACTTATTCTGATTCCTGGTTCTGGTTCTACACCTTGGTCTCAAGGTTCTTCTGGTTCTCTTATTTATTCTGAGTCCTGGTTCTGGTTCTACACCTTGTTCTATAGGTTCTTCTGGTTCTCTTACTTATTCTGAGTCCTGGTTCTGGTTCTACACCTTGGTCTATAGGTTCTTCTGGTTCTCTTACTTATTCTGAGTCCTGGTTCTGGTTCAACACCTTGTTCTATAGGTTCTTCTGGTTCTCTTACTTATTCTGAGTCCTTTTTCTGGTTCTACACCATGGTCTATAGGTTCTTCTGGTTCTCTTATTTATTCTGAGTCCAAGTTATGGTTCTACACCTGTCTCCGTGATGATGATGAAAACCACGTATCTCACGCCCATTTCACGGCTGAAGACTCTTTTCTCGCAAATATATTTGTGATAAAAGGTTAGACAAAGACATCCTCTTCTGTTGATTAATTAGTTCCCAGTTTTGTACTTAACCAAAGGAATGGGATACTGCATTGTTTCCCACAATCAACCCTGAGCGAACCTATCTCCCCTCACATCACTCTTATAAACGTCATTCTTTGCAGCTTTTAGTAAAATCAACGGATTGGTTACATTACAATCTTCCATATTTAAGACTGGGGTTGGTTCAAAGAAATTGATTAATCGCCTCAAACTCTATTTTTTTAATACTTTTTTTCTTCGCCTTTGAATGTCGTAGATATTTAAACCTATGAATTCTTCTATATCAAATAGTCAATGTTTAATATATCAAAGGTTTACACCCGCAGCTCAGGTTGCAAAAATATAGGGATTATAAAATTAGGACTGGAGGGGAAGCAATCAGTTACTTTAGAAGTTGTTGTTATAATCTTCCAAAAACCAGCTGAGTTAATTTGTCAACATATTTAAGAAAAGCCAAAAAACTAAGTTCTGGGTGGCTTCAGATCACAAAATAAAAATTTACTTAATTATTTCAAATTAAATCCTGGACAAATATGAAAATTACATGGTTTGCTTGAACTTGGTTTGGATCTAACAATTTGTTTCTAAATATATAAATTATAGGGAGGCAGAAGAAAGGGTAAAAAGGGATATTTTAGGGATTTTTACGGGCAGTTTCTTTTGCATAAAGGGGGGGGATGAGGGGTATTAAGCCTATTAATCAAATTAATTTTATCAAAAGCCATGTCAAATCAATTCTTTATCGAATTTGTACGATTTTTTTTGACAAATGTCAAAATACTTTTGAAGAAAATATGAAAATAAATTAAAAACCTTCGAAGTCAACTGAGATAAAAATTGAACCCCCCCCCCCCCCCCTTGAAGAACACCGAAACTATTAGGAATATGATTAACAGAAGGAGGGAGGAGTAGGAAAACATATTGAGGGAGAGGAGAGGGGTGAGAGAGGGTAGGTAGGAGGGAGAGGAGAGGAGTGAGAGAGGGTAGGAGGGAGAGTAAAACCAGTTTTTAAATGAGTAAACGATAAAATTATCGAAATGAATAAATAACCTGATAAACCTAAACACGGGTTCAGGAGCTACTGAACATTGTACAAGGAACCATGAACACGGGTTCAGGAGCTACTGAACAATGAACAAGGAACCCTGAACACGGGTTGAGGAGCTACTGAACAATGAACAAGGAACCCTGAACACGGGTTCAGGAGCTACTGAACATTGAACAGGTTCAGGAGCTACTGAACATTGAACAAGGAACCCTGAACAAGGGTTCAGGAGCTACTGAACATTGAACAAGGAACCCTGAACACGGTTTCAGGAGCTACTGAACAATGAGCAAGGAACCCTGAACACGTGTTCAGGAGCTACTAAACAAGTTTCAAAGAATTCTGAACACATTGGCTCCAAAGCTACTAAATAAGGAACATGGAACCCTAAAGACGGGTTCTGGGGCTACTGAACACGTAGCAAGGGACCTTGAACACGGCTTCAGGAGCGTCTGAACAAGGAACAAGGAACCCTGAAGATGGATTCAGAAGCTACTGAAAAGTGAATATGGAACAAGGAACCCTGAACACGGGTTCAGGAACTGCTGAACAATGAATAAGGAATTCTAAACATGTGTTCAGGTGCTACTGAACAAGGAACAAGGAACCCTAAAGACAGGTTTGGGAACTAGTGAACATGAAAAAGGAACCCTGAACACGGGGGATCAGAAGCCACATAACAAGGAACTTGGAATCCTAATGGCGGGTTCAGGATCTACTAAACAAGTAGCGAGGAACCTTGAAAACGCGTGCTCAGGAGCTACTGAACAAGGAACCCTAAATACATGTTCGCAAGCTACTGAACAAGAAACTTTGAACACATGTCCATGAGATACTGAACAAGAAACTCTGAAGACATGTTCAGGAGCTACTTACTGAACACGGGTTAGGCAGGAGATGGAGAAAAAGCGGAAAACAATGGAGATCGCTCCTTGGAGAAATGTTTTGGGGAAGAGGGGGAGAAAAGATGGTGTAAGGGGGNGGAATACAAGAAACGGTTAGGGATCTAGGAATACAAGAAACAGTCAGGGATGTAGGAATACAAAAAACAGTTAGGGATGTAGGAATACAAGAAACAAATAAGGATGTAGGAATACAAGAAACAGTTAGGAATGTAGGAATACAAGAAACAGTTAGAGATGTAGGAATACAAGAAACGGTTAGGGATCTAGGAATACAAGAAACAGTCAAGGATGTAGGAATACAAGAAACAGTTAGGGATGTAGGAATACAAGAAACAGTTAGAGATGTAGGAATACAAGAAACAGTTAGGGATGTAGGAATACAAGGAACAGTTAGGAATGTAGGAATACAAGAAACAGTTAAGGATGTAGAAATACAAGGAACAGTTAGGGAAGTGGGAATACAAGGAACAGTTAGGGATGTAGGAATAGAAGGAACAGTTAAGGATGTTGGAATACAAGAAACAGTTAGGGATTAAGGAATACAAGAAACAGTTAGGAATGTAGGAAAACAAGGGACAGTTAGGGATTTAGGAATACAAGAAACAGTTAGGGATGTAGGAATACAAGAAAAAGTTAGTGATGTAGGAATATGAGAAATAGTTAGGAATGTAGGAATACAAGAAACAGTTAGGAATGTAGAAATACAAGAAACACTTAGGAATGTAGGAATACAAGGGACAGTTAGGAATGTAGGAATACAAGAAACAGTTAGGAATGTAGGAATACAAGGAACAGTTAGGAATGTAGGAGGAGGGTTAAGATTTCTTTAATTAAAGAAACAGAACGACAAGCTTAAACCTATCAGAAATACAAGTTTCTAGCATTTGTAGTTCAGATAAAATCAAGTTTCAATGACCAAACACTTTCCTTTGTGTTTATTTCTTTAAAAACTATGAATGTCAGCTTGTCAAGTTCAAATTCTTGAATGTTTTAGAATGAATTGTAAATTAATGAAAGATTGGATAAAATAAAAAGATTTAAATAGCTAACACAAGTTTAAATAAATTCTATTCCCATGAGTTGAAAAGAAGACTTGAAAGGATGAATAAAAAATCATTCTACCTTTTTCTCTGTGACATGGTTCGCTCCCAGGACGAGGTTCTGCTCTCCGATCCCACGGTTGTAAGGGAGCTCAAGGATTGGCTAAACTTGTATAGCCGGGTGGAGCTCCCTAACAGGGTTCGGTGTTTAACAATCTTACTCCGGAGTGAACCCATGGTAACCAGGGTTGCTGCTGTCAACCCTGACCCAGAGTCAGACATTGTCTCCGACTCATCGGAGATAATTCGAACCGAGTCTGTCCAAGCTCTAGGTTTGGACTCATCCTCACTGCTTATATCACGGGCCCATAGGGGCATATCACTGACAGTCTTGCTCCGGGTGAGAGAATAACCCATATCTTTCACTTTAAGAGTTGACCCTATAGGAGCAACCTCTAGATGGGATGGAGGATTTATCTCCTGTTTATCCAGGATATCTATATGATGTTCTAGAACTGGAGGGTTTGCTGCTCCGACCAGCCAAGCTACGTTAGTTGTTGATCTGCTTCCCTCCGCGGAGAAACTGCTTGAAGGATTGCTTTCGACACACTCTTTGTTTTTCTCCGCAAATATATCCCCCGAGGGACTGATATTCTGATAACTCACAGCGCTCCGACCTAACAGTCCTAGCCTTATACGATCCTTCTCCCCGATCCAATTAGTCTCCGTTATATTTCTATTCATCTTATCCTGACTAAGCCAGGATGTGTCCAACACGTTTTTTGATAAATTAGGATTGCTCACGAACATATTTCTCTCCGGAGGGTCTTGTGGGTCTAGGTTTAGATTATTTTTTACATATCCAACATGCGGAGAACTTAGGTTTGGAGAGTTTGTTATTATTCGTCCTGAGCTATCAAGTATCCGACATTGTCTTTTATACTGTTCCATCTTGTAAGACACATGGAGCTGAGAATCCGACTTAGCGGAGTGGAGACGAACCTTGTTTTCATCCTCTTCTTGTGGGATCTGGAAAATGTTGACAGATCTACTCCGGAACGGACTGATTAGTCGGATAAAGGAAGAAGTTCTCAGGCTGAGACTACGTCTTGACTTTCTTCTAGAACTCATGACGAGGGTTTATTGCAGATCACGCCTGCACCCTGATCTACTATCTATAGGATCAAACCAACCTCCCACGGCTAATTCACAAACTAAAGGTGTTCCCATTAGGTTTTTGTCAAATCACTCATTAATTGAGCTTATCACTGGGTGTTTTTAGCTGAACCCCTTTCTGCTCAAAACAATAGGTTTTCTTGGCTCCTCACCACTCTGTTCTCATTAATTTCTCTATTATATCACTTACTCCAAGACAATACACGCTCCTAATATAAAACAATGATTCGAATGGACCTTCTCATTCAATAAACAATTTAACAATTTGTCAAGCGGAAACACTAGTTTTTTTATATCATTAAAACCAACTGAAAATTATGGAATGGAAGGTTGGAAATATTTAAAGAATGATAAATTATTGTCTGCTACCTCGATGAGTTTGTGTGTTTCAAGGGTGTGTCCTGATACCTCTGATATTAAGATTGCTTTGAAACCACCTGAAAATAGAACAATGTGAGATAATCATCTAAACCTAACTCTGGACCCCTTTTCTCAGATACTTTAACAGTTAAACCCACCTCTTTACATGTTTAAGCAGATTTTCTTCATCATTTAACATTTGCTACAGATATATTTTATAATTTATTATGACTTTATTTGGAAATCTAAAAATTTTAAGGTTTCCAAAAAACAATATAATTTTAAATATTTTCTGAAAATTCTTTCATATTTATTTTCTACAATATATGATTATTTTGATATGATTTACAACCTTTAACTTACATTTTTCAGAAAATCGTCATAGAATTATAATTTTTCTTAATAATAAATCTACGAATTTCTATGGTTTCTGTTTAAAACTTATCTCTTCTTTAGATATTTTCTCCGATACTGGATGGAAAAATAGTTCACTGATCAAATCCCTACATCAATCCCCCCCCCCCGTCCTTCCCCCATCTCTATAAATATATAATACTGTTTATATTAACTGACGATTATGATTAATAATTGCTCTCAAACTAAAATCGTTTTGTCACAGAGAGACGAAAGTTTTTTGGAGGTTACTGGAAATCATTAAATGGGGTGTAGTGTAGACTTACAGCGAAAAATTATCGATGGTGATCGCTACTAATTATACTTCTGTCGTTGCTTCTGTAAGGAGAAATTTTTTAGAAACAACTAATACCGAAACACGTAGCGTCCATACAAATTCAGAAAGTTGCAGCATACAACTCGGATCGTAAAAAAATCAATTTAATTCCAAACCTATCATTCAAAAATTACAACCTATAATCATCGATAATTTTTCGACGCATTCGTATATATTTGACATTTTATAATATTTTTTATTTTTTATGATCCAAGGGTTACTTTTGAAAACATTTATTCCTGTTTCGAGGATTTTTGATAATGAAGACGACATTTTCAGATTTTCCAGGAATGTTCAAAAATCTAGCGCCAGCCGTGAAAACAAATTGTAAGCTAAAGATTATTAAAAAAATTAAAAATATTATGTGTACTGTTTTAACTCTTATAGGCAGAAGTTAATAATTGATTTAAATCATTTCATGAATATTTTTACCTTTATCTAAACTTCAATACTAACTATGCAATTATGGTTTAAAGATTATACACCGCATATAAGGAACTAATTAGATAACCTTGATTTTATTAGAATATAAACCAACAAGGTATAAAACTGACGCAAAAATTGAAAGAAAAAATGCATAATTGCCGCGTGTTTGACCATGAGACCATTTTTCAAATAAACCCTCTTGCATGTTTGTAAAAATATGTAATTTTAGAAATCATGTTTAGGCTCACTTTTCCGATCAAATATTATTTATGATGATTTTTTTTCTTTTTATGATTTTCATGATTAAGATGAATATAAAAATTTTAATGGTCTTTTGATAGATCATTGTTTCATTCATTCTTTTTATAGAAAATAAAATCTCGGGTGTCTAACCAAGGATTTTGTAGAAAGACACATCTAAGCCAGCCAAGAATTACAGATAAAGGATGGAAATTTTTAAACCAATCATGAACAATAAGAAGAGAAAGAAATATATAAAAAACATCGCCTTTTCTGAAATTTAAAAAGCTAGGCTTTTAGGGCTCTTCCCGCCCATCTTCTATCTCAATTGTAAACATTTTCTCTTGTAAAACAAAAACAAAAAAGTTCGCGGAGGCAAATTTGTGAAATTTCGATCTCCAGAAACCTTCCCTTTGGTCATGTTAGGTCCCACACACGATCGGTTTAGCATTTTTGACGTATATTTGACACAAACAAACAAATGGGTATATATGTGTCAAACAAAGATTTGGTAGACACATATATACTTTCTAGGAAGGTTGAATTTACACTGCAGAAAAAATGGATAAAATTGCAAATATTCGCACTAATTTCCCAATTTACATATATGCAGGCTGTATACGTCTGGCTGGAGTTATATAACGAAAAGAACTGAAACTCTAAGATTTAGAATTTACGCTTTGGTTATTTAATAAACAATTTTGATACAACTAATTAACCACATTTAAGGATGCGTATATGCGTAGATCAGAAATTCTAACTTCATATTTCAAATTTCTACCATATGCTAAAAAAAATGTTAAAATCGAATGTTTAAATTTAAAAACTTCGACAATAAAGGGATCTGAGACGTAATCTCAAATCCCCAGGTATGTCTAATTCACAATAGTATGTACAGTAACAATGAGGAAGATATCGTCGTTTTTCTGTCTGGACAAGTGTTAATTCTAATAATTTTCTATATTGCATAAATCCGCTAGTCACGTTATTAGAGAATACGCAAATAATAATAATCTATTTTCCTGATTAATAATGAGGAGATAATGTCGTTTTTCTGGTTTAAAAAGTGTTTAATTCTGATCATGTCTCCAATCTAAAATCATATAAGTTAAATTAGAGTACTAAAAATACAGAGCGAAAATTATTGATACCACCCTTTTCAAAACTAAATACCCAAAGATGTAAGGTCTGTCCTAGAGAACGATTTGTGGACCCCCCCCCCCCATCAATTTTTTACATGACCTAGATTTCAACTGTTTTTAAGAAAAAAATTATTTAAGGGTTAGGTTAGGTTAGGACAATTTCTGGGCCGAGCGCTGTGTATAGGACAGTCTAGGGGGCGGAGCGCCGCGGCTAGGATAGGCTAGGGGGCCGAGTGCTGCGGCAAGGACAGACCTTCAATTTCAACAATTTTCGACTATATTAGTATATATTTAGGGTTAGGTCAGGCTTAGACAATTTCTGGGCCGAGCGCTGTGTATAGGATAAGATAGGGGGCGGAGCAATGCGGCTAGGGGGCCGGGCGCTGCGGTCACATGACCAACTTTATCGATGTGCTAAATATGAGATGCAAGTACAAAATTGATAGGAGGGGGGTCCCGGGGGAGTCCAAAAATCGTTCTCTAGGATATCACCAAGATTTAAAGATATCTTTATGTTAAATATGTCCTGAATGAATGTGTGAATTTAAGTAGAGCAGTGCATATACAATATACATGCTTGTTTTAGAGGATAAACTTATATTTTTACAGATTTAAAGATAACACCGGATTTAGGAAGGTTCGGGGAAAATTTAAATTAATATATCAGGATTCAGGATTTTAGAACACACAAATATTTCCTGGAAACGATGACATGAAAGCACGTGTTAAGACATTTTTGAAGATTGAAAAAGAGTGAAAGTAGAGAAGCTTTTTAAGGTTCACCTTTCTCATTATTATATGTAGACGTTCTGTCTCCGTGATATAGAAAAAGTTCTAAAATCCACAACAAGAAAGAACGCAAATATCCGATGAAAATACACTTAGACAAGCATTGAAAATAAAAAAGTTTGACAAAGAGAAAATGAGAACAAAGAAAAGAAAGATCCGTCCTTGCATATTTAACCTAATAGAGGTTGTAGGAAAGAACAATGCAATCAGTCCTACCCTAGATATTTGGATCAACTTCTTTCTAAGTTTTATAGCTCTTTGAAAGGTGGACAGAGGGGTGAGGGCAGCATTGTTCGATGATAGGGAGAAAGGTTTATGAGGAAAAAATAGCAAAGTTAGAATTACATGAATGTACAACTCGATGTACATGTGGAGTTGTCGCAAAAAGATAAGTTCTTGCTGTTTGTACATAAAAACTAAATCTTGACGGACAGCTGATTGCAGACTCACTGTGATCTTAGGGAAATGTTTTATTTTGACTCCATTAGGCGTGCTTTTATCCAAACAGAATGAATAGTTTAGACTCGAGTGCAGAGATTGACAAGATCGATCTCAGATCAAGTTCTTATATTTATCCAATTAAAGAGCAAGAGGGGAAAAACCGTATTCGCACTAAATCCCCAATTTCTTTGACACGGATAAAAAGTGTTTAAAAATAGTTAGATAATATTAATAAGGAAATTTTTACAATTTAAACATGAAGAGAAACTGAAAAAAAACCATGTAATGTTTTTTAACATTTTCACGGATTTCCTTAAATGTGAGGAAATAACGATAACATATCATTTAGACCTTTACCATAGACGGCGTGGCTTCATATTTTAGGATGTCTTAAAGCTGTTTTTTTTTTCTAAGTAACAATGTAAAACATGTAACAAACTCTAAAATAAGACTGATAATATTACCGTTGAAATAAATGTTAATTAGATTATCATTTTAAAAACATACTCAAGACAAAACTTCTTAAAAGAAAAAAGTTCTTTAACTAATTTTATGATATATCATGAAATGGAGGAGGGGGGTGGGTGTAGGAGAGTACATTTCAGTTTTGCCAATAATTAGTTACCCCCTAGTCTAAGTTCTGCATGAGTCTATGTTAAGTATCTATATATAGAGATTAGATTACTAGTTTAGTTGTAGTTAAGTTTGCTAGAACGGGTCAAGATTCTCCGGTATCAAACTCAGGTAATACAAGTACTCCTGTCACGGAGTAGGAAGACATGGAGACGGATTTAAGTCTTATCACGTAACACAAATACGTCCTCTCTCTCTGCGACAAAGCTCTTCATTTGGACAGAAAAATCTGTTATGGTTGCCATTTTAGAATATATACGGGTCTTTTCTTTATGGAAACTAATCCTTTTTCCGTCTCAAAAAAAAGGTCTGGCATTCGGTAGTAAATATAAGTTTCGTTCTGTAAACACACTCATCTTTTCTTTTTACACACATAGATTGGCTACATATACATTACAACATTTAAAAAGGAACTGAGTACACTCTAATTTTCTCATCTTAATATATTTACAATCTGATGGTGTAAACTTTGTATAAGTCAAACTTAGACAATTGAAACTAACATAACTTATAGTTTGAAATATCAATCATCAGGTTTCAAATATAAAGGGATTAAAAAATTAAAATAAAATATTTTCATCTGCAAAGCAACATAATCATTTGACAGTACGGAACTGCGTTATTTCCTCTCCATATGTAACTACTCCGTGTATTTAGAGTTCACGGTGCAGACGAC